AATTTAAAGAGGAAACAGTTAATGTGGCGTTAATAAATGGGGAGAAATCTTCAGTTTAGTGATTTTTAAAAATAAAACAAATACAATAGATATCTCAGAGGAACTAAAAATAGGAGCAGAATTTTTTCCACTGGGATCTGACGTTGTTTTTCTATGCATGGGGATTATTGGAATAGAATTTTTAGCTCCAGTTTCAGAGGATGTGGAAACAAGACTTAGGGAATGAACTCAGCTGGTATGGGAAACCTGGTATTTTTACGACTAGAGTAAACCAAAAAAAAAAAAAAAAAAAAAAAACCAAACCTGTTGCAGTCGAGTGGATTCCGTCTCCTAGCAACCCTATAGGACAGAATAGAACTGCCCCATAGAGTTTCCAAGGAGCGCCTGGTGGATTTGAACTGCCAACCTTTTGGTTAGCGCAAAATGCTTAACTACTGTCACCAGGGTTTCCGTGACTAGAGTAGTAATCAATAAACTAGAGCACTGGTGCCAGATGTATGCAGGTTTGAAATCTAAGGGAGAACTCAGAATTGGACATTCAGGATCTGTTCTTTGTCCTGCAGTTCCATCCTCTTGTCAGAGTCTTCCTTATCTCCCTCCTCTTGATCACTCTCCCAAATGTGGTTTTTAAATTTTGATTTTTGAATAGGCAATATTTACGTGGTTCAAAATTTAAAAGCTATGGAAGTGAAAGGTTTTCCCTATAGTCATGACCTGTGTTGAGTGTTATTTATAGTCACAGTGATCAGAAGCTTTCTTATGCCTTTGTTCAAGGCTGAGATGGAAGCTGGGATGGAGAGGAAGAGACAGAACAAACATTCTATAAGATTTGAGAAAATGCCACAGCTCCAGTGCCTGGCACACAGTAGGCTTTTAGCTGCAGAAACATTCTTCTCTGACTAGTGGAGAAGGACCAAGGAGGAAGGGGAGGGAAGGAGTGGGTGACAGCTAGTGCTCAGGAGACCCGTTAGGGCCTTGCCTTTGGAGATTAGGAAAAGCCAGTCCTGGGGAGAAGAGTGCCAGGATGTGAGATGCTCTCGAGCTCCCAAGGCCAGGCCTCGGTGGGATAGAGCACCTTCAGGGAGAAGGAGGAAACTGGGTGTCCCTGCAGAGCTGAAAAGGGGAAGAGGCGACCCGTAATGGGCTGGTGGAGAACGCCAGAGGGGCACTGGGGAAGGGCAGCCCACTGGGTGGCTCCCCTCTCATTACTTCCCATTCAAGCATCTGAGGGCCCAAGACTCGGAATTCTCTGGAAGGGTGGCACCCAGGGAGCATGGGCCCTTATCAAGGGAGGAAGTTTTCTTCACAACTATGTCAAAAAGCCACATTTTTCTTTCTTTCCCAGTAACTGTGTCCAGAAAATATCTAGAAAAGGAAGAAAATGGGAGAGCCCAAAACAAAAAGCCCTAAAAGTTCTCTAAAGGAGGTAAATGGCATCACTGGCTTTGTTTTATTTTTTTGCTAACTGTTGTGACAAATACTCTTTTTAGCTAAAAGTTCTATATATTTAAACAAGTGGGCAGTGTTGCTTCTGAGAAATCCCTCTCAGGGCAAATAGATTTGATTCTTCGCAAAATTTGGGTAACTCCAGCATTTGCTTAATTCCTGTTTTTCCTCAAAGACCTTGTGCTTTGGTGTGATTAAAATTTCACTCAGCTTGCTTACTTTGGACCCATCATCAGGAAAGACCAATCATTAGAAAAGGACATCATGGTTGGTAAAGCAGAGGGTCAGAAAAAATGGGGAACCCTCAGTGAGATGGATTGACACAACAGCTGAAACAATGGATTCAAACATACTAACAATTATGAAGATGGCATAGGACGAAGCAATGTTTCATTCTATTATACATAAGGTAGCTATGAGTCGGAGCCGACTTGATGGCATCTAATAACAACAACATTGAAGCAATTACTTTTGAATACTTTTCTACGACTAGGTAATTTTCTGGGAAAAAAAATCTCTATAAACTCAGAGCTTTATGTTGAAAAACAAATGTGTAGACAGCCATTTGGTGTTTTACCTGTAATCTTTAAAAGAAAGTCTTCTAGAGACTTTTTGCTCTAGATGTAGTACCTTCCCAAGTCCCTGAAACTGCATACTTAGGAGCTTATGCTTTGTAGATGAGAGAATTTAACAGTCACCCTTCCCCTTTGGAGTGTCCAGTAAAGGACTCTGGCAAGAGAGGGTTAGGTAGGGAAGGCATTTACTAGGTTTGGACTTTATCGAAATGACTTGCTCAAGTTGAGACAAAGTCAGGACCTAACTAGGATTAGACATCTGCAGCAACCATTCAGCACTCTCTATTCATGGAGGCAAAATATGGGCAGAATTCAGGGTTTTGTTGACCACCCCCTCCCCCACCAGGATTTCAAGAGATCCTTAGACGTATGTGTGGATTTTGCCTTCTGTTCATACAGATAGACAGGTTGGGAAGCCCCCAGAAGTCACCATAGCCTCTATCAGCAGCCCCTTATGAAACAGGAAACATGAAGATCTGTCTAGGCATCTAGATTGCTCTGTGTGTCTTGGGTGTACATGAAGAATATGACCTCTCCCCAGGATAAACATTATTCAGTCATTCCTTGTGTAAGTTCAGCTTGGTTTATTTTATATTGTAAATTGGCTTGGCAGGTCCCTGCGACATTTTTATTATGAAGTCCTGAATTTCTAACTTGCTTCTAAATTGCTGAATGCCACACTTCCCTGACTGTTCTTTCTCTGAAATGCACAGGAAATGTCTGTAGGTTTGGCAAGCTCTTCCCCCCCCCCCCCCCCCCTTCTCCATACTCCTATTCTGAAAGTGTTCATTCAGCATTTGAGAGCCTTGAATCATCCTCCCTCTTGGCTCCCTTAAACACACTTGTCCTCACTCTAAAGAAGGTAAAATGGTTTCATTTCCAATCAGCTGACTTAGGACCATGTCTATCTTTAACCTTTGTCAGATGTTCCTAAATATCCCATCTTTTTTCCCCTAAACTTCAATAATGCCACTCTTACAAACATGTGCCAAGTCTGTGAATCAGGTTTTCTTCATCTGAACTTCTTTTTCAAACATAGTAGTATGAAAATTAGGGATGGCAGAAGCAAGGCTAGAAACTGAAGGGAAATTATTTGAAATAATTGGAACATAAATTCTTTCATTTCTTTAATGTTGACCAATATTGTTTTGAATGCCTACCATTGTTCTAGGCCCTGGTGATACAGCAGTGAACAAGACAACATCTTTGTCCTCAGGGAGTTTATGTTCTAGTGGAAGGAGACAGACAATAAACCAAATTAATAATTTATATAGTATATTAGAAAGTGATCTTTGCTTTGAAGATAAAAAAGCAGACACGGAGTATAGGGAGTATAGCTTGCAAGCTTAAAATAAGATGGCTTTAGAGTAAAGGAGGTGAACTAGCAGGCTATGTTGCCATCTGGGGGAAGAGACTTCCAGGCATAGAAAACAAACAGCAAGTGCAAAGGCATCCCCGGAGTGATTGAGAAACAGCTGGAAGAGCATGTTTGGAGCAGCAGGTGATGAGGTGAGAGAAGTAAGAGGAGGGAGCAGACCCTTAGGACCTTGTCCGATACTGTAGGTACTCTAGCTTTTACTGTGATGACGTGCGAAGCCACTGGACGGTTTCAAACACAGGAGCGAAAGGATGTCATTTAACAAGACCACCCTGGATGCTGGATCGAGGAGAGTACCGGGCAGGTGTAGAAGAGGAGAGGCCACTGCAATCATCCCTACCAGAAATTAATCAGAAATGTTTGTTTACAAAAAGGGAAGAAAATGTTCTTGCAGAATATTAAAAAAAAACAAGAACAAAAACAGGGAGTGATTATTTTTTGGATGTTTACGTTGGGAGAAAAAGATCAATTTGGCAGCTACTCTGCTGCTGTGTCTCCCCCAGACGCAGTGGGCCTGGGAGTCACGGGGAGCTAGGTCTTCGTTGTTTTTTCCAGAGGGAACTATGAACCTTAGCAAGGTTTGGTCATTGTGACTGAAAGGCGCCTTTATGGGCTGCCTTGAGATGTCTGTCCCTTCTCATTTCCCAAACTTGCCAGGGTGCTTATTAAAAATAGATTTCTGGCCCTTTCCCCTTTAGTAAGTATGGGATGGGATCCAGGGAATATGTACTTTTATCAGGAATGAGGTGATTCTTATGACTAGGAAGTTTGGGAAACTGCCCCACTCTTAACTTCCCAGTCCTTTTGGGGTTTGCGTTGGACCTGGAAAGCTTTGCTGGGCGCCCGTACCGCCGGCAGGTGGCCCCACTTGACCGCGAGCGGCGGAACTCGCGCGTCCAGGCAGGGGGAAGAAAGGCGCGAGCAGAGCCGGTCCGCCGCGGTGCAAGGGCCACCGGACTGCCGCATATCCCGGGAGGAGCTGCATACACAGATGGTGGAAGGGGGCGCGCAGGGTCGCGGCCGGTGCCCTGGCTTAATTTGGGACTTACGTGCGCCTTAAACGGTCCCTAGTGAAATCAGCTTCTCGGGCACCGGGGGCAGGAAGGCGCATCCGCTCTGCACCGGCAGTAAGTATTGGGTGGCCAGCAACGGGGTGCAGCGAGAAAGCGCGACCTCGCACAGCAGGGCATCAGTCCCACCAGGCCTGCAGCAGGCGCGAGGATCTACTACTGGGTCTCCTCAGAGAGCGCCAGCCCGGTTGACGGCTTCTTTTCATTGGCAACTGGACCAGAGGCCCCGCCCCCTTTCTACAGCTCTAATTTCTGACTGGCTATCGGGCTCTGACTGGCCACACCTCCTCCCCTCGCACATACACAAGAGTCACGCGCCTTTCAGTTGGAAACTTGGCGTGCTGAGGGGGACTGTGGCAACTCATTTCCCCACCCACTTACCTTGCCATTGGTCCGCGGCGCCACTCACGGCCACGCCCCCATTCCTGCCCCCTGGCTGGGTGGGCGGGCACCCGCTCGTGATTGGCTCGCGGGCCTGCCTTTCGTGGAAGCGGCTGGTCCTCCTCTCCCTCCCTCTCCCCCTCCCACGAACCTAGGGGTTCCTCAGCTGGCCGAGGCCGAGTCAGTCTCAGTCAGGGAGGCGGACCGCTGAGCACTGGGTGCGGACGCTCCATTGCAGTCTCGCCCAGGGCCCGGTGTCTGCGCTCGCGCCGCCGGGTGGGAAGGATGAAGCCGCAGCTGGAGCAGCCACCCCATGATTGGCTGTGGCGCTGGTGAACCCGAAGTAAAGATGGCGGGCGGGCAGGCAGCCGCCGCACTGCCCACTTGGAAGATGGCGGCGCGCCGCAGCCTCAGCGCCCGCGGCCGGGGGGTCCTGCAGGCAGCGGCGGGGCGGCTGCTGCCGCTGCTACTGCTGAGCTGCTGGTGCGGCGGGGGTGGCTGCGCAGCGGCGAGCGAGAACGAGGAGACGGTGATCATCGGGTTGAGGCTGGAGGACACGAACGACGTGTCGTTCATGGAAGGGGGGGCGCTGCGGGTGAGCGAGCGGACCCGGGTCAAACTGCGGGTTTACGGGCAGAACATCAACAACGAGACGTGGTCCCGCATTGCCTTCACCGAGCACGAGCGGCGGCGCCACAGCCCGGGCGACCGCGGGCTGGGTGGCCCCGCGCCGCCAGAGCCGGACAGCGGCCCCCAGCGCTGCGGCATCCGCACCTCAGACATCATCATTTTGCCCCACATCATCCTCAACCGCCGCACCTCGGGCATCATCGAGATCGAGATAAAACCGCTGCGCAAGATGGAGAAGAGCAAGTCCTATTACCTGTGCACGTCGCTCTCCACGCCAGCCCTGGGCGCCGGCAGCTCGGGGTCAGCCGGGGGCGCCGTCGGGGGCAAGGGCGGCTCCGGGGTGGCCGGGCTCCCGCCGCCCCCGTGGGCTGAGACCACCTGGATTTACCATGATGGCGAGGACACCAAGATGATCGTGGGCGAGGAGAAGAAGTTTCTGCTACCTTTCTGGCTGCAGGTGATCTTCATCTCGCTGTTGCTGTGCCTGTCGGGCATGTTCAGCGGCCTCAACCTGGGACTCATGGCCCTGGACCCAATGGAGCTGCGCATCGTGCAGAACTGCGGCACCGAGAAGGAGAAAAATTACGCCAAGCGCATCGAGCCCGTGCGCCGGCAGGGCAACTACCTGCTGTGCTCGCTGCTGCTGGGCAACGTGCTGGTCAACACCACGCTTACCATCCTGCTCGATGACATCGCGGGCTCCGGCCTCGTGGCGGTGGTGGTCTCCACCATCGGCATCGTCATTTTCGGGGAGATCGTGCCCCAGGCCATCTGCTCCCGGCACGGCCTGGCCGTAGGCGCCAACACCATCTTCCTCACCAAGTTTTTCATGATGATGACCTTCCCCGCTTCTTACCCGGTCAGCAAGCTGCTGGACTGCGTCCTGGGTCAGGAGATAGGCACAGTCTATAACCGGGAAAAACTGCTGGAGATGCTCCGAGTCACCGACCCTTACAACGACCTCGTCAAAGAGGAGCTGAACATCATCCAAGGGGCGCTGGAGCTCCGCACCAAGACAGTGGAGGACGTGATGACTCCGCTCCGGGACTGCTTCATGATCACTGGCGAGGCCATCCTGGACTTCAATACCATGTCGGAGATCATGGAGAGCGGCTACACTCGCATTCCAGTGTTTGAGGGGGAGCGCTCCAATATCGTGGACCTCCTCTTTGTCAAAGACTTGGCCTTTGTGGACCCAGATGACTGTACTCCCCTGAAAACCATCACCAAATTTTATAACCACCCCTTGCATTTTGTTTTCAACGACACCAAGTTGGACGCTATGCTGGAGGAATTTAAGAAAGGTGGGAAATTTTGATATCTTTCATTGGCTTGCTCTTTCCTCTTTCCATCTTCCTCCCTACTTGAGTCCTCTACCCTCAGACCAACCCCCCAAGGCGAGTTGACCGGAATTTCTCCTTCTCTTTCTTCATTGTAAATTTGAAAGGTTGGCGTGGATTTGGGGACGGATTGAACTAGTAAGCGCTCCTGAGTTCTTTAAAAGCATAGGACTGCCATCACTTGCCTGTTTTTTCTTCCGTATCAAAAAGCAGGCAGCGTAATTGCTGTGCATGATACTTCTTTTTTCCCTTGGGTGTCTCAGGTTTTGAGAGGTCTGCTGCATTTATTACCTGCGTTCTGAGTGGGTAGGTGAAAGTAGGGGCCGGCTAATACCATGCGATGCCATTTGGTTGACCTGCTCTAACCGCAGGCTTTTGGAACATTTAAATAGTTTTTCTAAACCTAGTACACTCATTTTCCTTGTCCTTAAACCTCTACACTGACGTTGTTTCAAAGATTGGACGTGCATTTTCTATTGCTTCTGTTCCTGGTTGTCTGGGGACGTGTGGGAACGATTTGACATCTGTCGTTGGGGGTGGGGGAGGTGGGGTAAGGTGAGTACCACCAAAACAATTCACTCATTCGGGTGTGACTTGCCTTAGCTGGAAAAGAGATTTTTAAAAATTAAGGTTAGTTGTTAATATATAATTTGGAAGCTACTGTATCTTGTTTAACTTGCTTTATTATTTGTTTAAATTTACCTGAAACAGCATTTTGCAAACCAAGGGTGGTTTTGGCAGAACCCTTCAGCTTTTAACAATGGGATAAATCCCTTAATTAATGATGGTTTATTTATTTCTTGAGTCATTTCAGTCTAAAAGTGTTCTTTTTAACCTTGATCACCTGGTCAACTGAAGTATGTATCAAGTCAACTGTGGTTGTTCTAGGGTATTTAACAGGGAAGGGAAGTGCAGAGTCTGATTTGCTCACCTTTCTTGCATTGTGCTGTTTTTTGTTTTGTTTTTTTTGCCGTGTGACGATCAGGTGAATAACAACTCATGCTATTATTACTGAAATTCTGCTGTTAAAAAGTCCCCAATAAATAGCTAGCGTTATTTGAAAACCAAGGGATGCTGAGGCTTTAAAAATTGTTATGATGCTAGTGCATGTCCATGTACTGAAGTGTGTATGTAACTTAATGACCTGATGGTCCGTTAAAACTAAGTTTTCCTTCTTCAGATAGATTTTTTATCACCGATAATGACCTCCTCTGTGCAGAAGGCCATGTGTACCTGGTGACAGCTCAGTGGATGTAATGAGCCGAACATACTCATAGTGTGTGGTTGCCCTAATTCCATTTTTCTGGCTGGATAGTGTCCTGTCTTGAACAGATCACACTGCAGTAATTTTCAGATAAAGGAATTGAGCAGAATATGCTTTGGAGGTTGGTAATTTGCATGTAAAAACAGAATGAGATTGTTCTGGATTCTTAAGCAGTAAAAAGAAAATGTCCATTTTCTCTAGGTGACAAAGCTGCTTTTGGGAGTGTCATTATTCTTTGATTGCTAAGTTGTTAATGAGAACATCTAGCCAGTCTCCCTTCTTCGTTAATTTTGCAGTAATATCTATAATACAGAAAGCTATACAGAATGCTTGAAAGTGCCTCTGAAGTACTTAATTTTCTTTCAATTGCTAAGTTCCTAGTATTGATACAGACAATTCATTGTATGTTTTTTTATTATTCGGAATTTTTGCACACATAATGATGGATTGATAACACTAGTTTGTACTCCCTACTGAAGTCTTTTCTTCACTTCCGTTTTTTTTTCTTTCAGAATTCTGTTATTTACCTTACTACTCATTAATCATGTCTGTATGCAAAATATCAAAATTTGCATTATTTTGAAATTTGTTTTTAGTTGTCCTGGAACAATTTTCTGTGGTTGATTTATTTTCATGAGGAACCTTTTTTCTCCCAAAATTAAGTGTCTTGTTAACAGTATTTTCTTTGAAATCTATCCTTTAAATAATTGAATTACTAATATTTTCCTGTGAACTCTAGAAAAATAGTACTCTACAAGATTTTATTTTTGTTATTAATAAGAATGATATATTTGGTTTCAAAGATAGTACAGGGTAAAGTCACATTCAAGCTAGTGGCATATTCAGAATAGCAGCACAGACTATTGGGTACAAATGGGAAATTTAAGCCGTTATCTTAAAAGGATGGAATTCATTACTTAAACTATAGGCATAACTGATATTTCACTTTCTCTTTCTTGGATTTTTATTTGATAGGTTTGATCACTTTAACCTTACTAACAGCTGTATTAGTTCTTTTTCATGTGTGAGTTGGAATATTTCACCTGATTTTTTTTCTTCTTTATTTTCTAATTCATTTATGAAATAATGCGGATGGTCAACCTTCTATTGTTTTTCTCCATTGAATAATAGCATGTGCGATGGTTTAAAGGCTTTTTCTTCCTCTTCTCTCTTTCTGCTAACTTTTCCATTTCCAGAAAACAAAAACAAAAATAAATTCTATAATACCCCCTGTAACTCCTCCAAACTGATAAGATCACCAATTCAGATCTCATTGAAAATTAACCTTCCTAATTTAGAATGTATTGAATCTATTTCTGTATATATGCCACACAGCCAGTTCTGACTTATGGTGACCCCATGTGTTACAGAGCAGAACTGCACTTTGTAGGGTTTTCAAGGCTGTGACCTTTTGGAAATGGAAGCCTTTCTCCTGAGTTGTCTCTGGGTAGATTGCAACTGCCAACCTTTGGGTTAGTAGTCAAGCACTTAACCGTTTGTGCCACCCAGGGTCTCTGTTTATGCTGTTGTTGTTAAGTGCTGTTGAGTTGATTCCAACTCATAGCAGCCCAGTGTGACACAGTAGAACTGCGCGTAGGGTTTTCTAGGCTGTAATCTTTGTGGGAGCAGATTGCCAGGTCTTTTCTCCCGCGCAGCCACTTGGTGGGTTCAAACTGCCAACCTTTTGGTTAGCAGACGAACGCTTAACCATTGTGCCACCAGGACTCCTTTTTCTGTACATAGCTGTACATAATTAATCTGAGTTATTCTTTGCTGAGGAGGGGGGAATAGAAAGATTTTCCAATATGGAAAGAAATGAAAAGCTACCTTTGTAAAAGTATATGTGCATATCTTCTTTCTAATAATTAGAACTTTTTGCCTGACTACCGGAAGACTTTAGCTAACCTTTAGGTTGGAAGACAGTAATTATGTTAATTTTACAATTAGCATATTGCTATTATTGTTGTTGTTATTTACTTGTTCAGGTACTGGCTGAGTGCTTTACATGAATTACCTTGTTTAAATCTCACAACGACTGAATGAGGTATTATCTCCAATTTACAAATGAGGGAATTGAGGCTTAGGTTAAATGATTTGTTAAAGGTCATGTAGCAAGTTATGGATTTGGGGCTTTAACTCAGGTATGTCTGACACCAGAGCTTGAACTGTTTTTTTTTTTTTTTTAATTTTTGTAATTAAATTGAAGTTTAAATTTCAAGTTAGTCTTCCATACAAAATTTTTTTTTTTTTTACATACATTGTTATGAGACCCCAGCTGCTCACCCCATTCTGCAACTTCCCTCTGCCCCTGATTCCCCATGAACATTCAACCAGCTTCTAACTCTCTCTGCCTTCCCGTCTCACCTCTGGACAGAAGCTGCCCCTTTGGTCTCTTGTATCTACTTGACTAAGAGGCACATTCTTCACGAGTATCACTTTATGTCCCACAGTCCAGTCCAATCCCTGTCTGAAGAGTTGGCCTCGGAAATTGTTTCAGTTCTGGGGTGATAGAGAGTCCAGGTGCCATGCTTTCTGGGGCACCTCCAGTCTCAGTCAGACCATTAAGTCTGGTCTTCTTACTAGAATTTGAGTTTTGCATCCCATTGTTCTACTGCTCCATCAGGGACCCTCTGTTGTGTTCCCTGTCAGGACGTTCATTGGTGGTAGCCGGGCACCATCTAGTTCTTCTGGTCTCAGGCTGATGAAGTCTCTGGTTTATGTGGCCCATTCTGTCTCTTTGTGTCTTTGGTGTTCTTCTTTCTCCTTTACTCCAAGTGGTCGGGACCAGTTGATGCATCTTAGATGGCCAGTTGTTAGCTTTTAAGACCCTAGACGCCACTCACCAAAGTAGGATGTAGAACATTTTCTTAATAAGCTTTGTTATGCCAATTGACCTAGATGTCCCAGAGCTTGAACTCTTAACCTCTATATTGTACTGGTTCTCTTGTTCTTCATGACACATTTCTATTTTACTGAGTGTGAATTTTGGACTTCTGTGAAAAACACTGCAGGGGAAAGATACGGAAGTCTGCTTCTGTAAAGATTTCAGCCTCGGAAATCTTATAGCATCGCTATGAGTTGGAATCAACTCGATAGCAATGAGTTTGGTTTTTGGTTTTGGTGAAAATATTGCTTCTGGACAACAGACACAGAAATGTATTCAAACATATATAGCTTTAAACCCAGTGCTTCTGTGAAATTATGCGTAATAGTTCCCACCTCATTGACAGGAAGTCGATTCCAACTTACAGTGACCCTATAAGACGGAGTAGAACTGCCACATAAGGTTTCCAAGGAGCAGCTGGTGGACTTGAACTGCCAACTTTTTGATTAGCAACCGAGCTCTTAACTACTGCACCGCCAGGGCTCCATGCATAACAGTTGGTGTCCCCATTTTTGCCATTAAAATAAATCAATTCTTCGGCCACTATGATCCAAAATCAAAGGAATTTTATTTCCAGTTTTTTGCACATCAAAGCATCAAGATTCATTTTGCAAATGTTGTATACTGGCATTATACTGTACTGGTGTGCTACTCTAATGGACTACTCTGCAACCGTTTTTCATATAGCTAAAATATGTAGTATAATGTCTTAGTCTTGGTTTCTTATCTGTGTCTGTTGGAAGTGTGACTCAAACTCAGGCTTGTGTTTTAATCTTGATTTTGTCTACATTTTTTGTAGACATTTATATAATAACT